GTATGCACGCCATGCTGCTATTCGTTCCTCCTCAGCTGCAGTGAGAGGCGGGACCTGTGTTGCTGCTGCTGCTGCTGCTTCTGCTGCTGCTGCTGCAGTTGTTGTTGCTGCATCTGCTGCTGTACCTGCTGCTGCTGCATCTGTTGCTGCACCTGCAGCTGTTCCTGCTGCAGCAGCAGCAGCAGCAGCAGCAGCAGTATTTTGTGTGAGCTGCAGGGGCTGATGAGAGAGTACCCCTCTAAGGTGCGGCATCGCCACCGCAGCAGCAGCAGCAGCAGCAGCAGCAGCAGCAGGAGCAGGAAGAGGAGGTGGTGGTGGTGTGAGTAGTGTTGCTGCTGCTCTTCTATCGAGCAGAACGAGCTGCTGCAGCGTGCTGCTGCTGCGCAGCAGCAGGCGGCCTATTGCTTCCAATAGGGAGAGATTTGCTTCGCCCTGCTGCAGCAGCACAATCACTCTGGTTGTTGCTGGCAGCAGCGAGAGAAACCAGCAGCAGAAGCTGCTGCTAGCAGCAGCAGCACCACATATAGACACACCACCGTGCAGCAGCAGCCCCCCTTGTATTGCTTGTGTATATATTGATGCTGCGTCTGATGCACTCATTCCTGTTGCTGCTGCTATTGCTGCTGCTGCTGCTGCTGCTGCTGATGGTGGTGATGCTGCTGCTGCTGCTCCTGCTGATGTATCCACACAACTCAGTGTTCCTGCTGCTGTAGAAGCAGGACTTGCTGCTGCTGCTGCTGCTGCTGCTGCTGGTTGTGATGCAGGCACAGCTGCTTGCGCTGCAGTCTGGGGAGATCCAGCAGCAGCAGCAGCAGCAGCAGCAGGTGCAGCAGCAGCAGCAGCAGCAGGAGGAGGAAGAGGACTATCTTCAGCCCCATTCTCTGCTGCAGTTTCACCAGAACCCCTCCGTATCAGCATCTGCTGCAGCAGCAGCTGCTGCTGCAGCTGCTGCAGCTGCTGCAGCTGCTGCTGCTGCTGCTGCTGCTGCTGCTGCTGCAGGTAGATATGGTGTTTTCGGGCTAGATAAGAGAGCCGCAGCGGCAGCAGCACTTCGTATGCTCTGCTGCTGATGATGCTGCGCCAGTAGCTGCAGACAGAAGACAGCCGCAGCGGCGGAGACTCACCAGACAGCAGCAGAAATATAAAAGCCATCAGGTGTATAGGCACCTCGTTGATGCGGCATCTGCTGCTGCTCTTTACTACACATCTTTCACCTGCTGCTGCTGCTCCTGCTGCTCCTGCTGCTGCTGCTGCTGCTGCTGCTGCTGAGGAGGAGGAGGAGGAGGAGGATGCGGGGGTGCAGTCGGCAGCAGCAGATACTCGCGAGTTGGGAGCTGCTGCTGCTGCTGCTGCTGCTGCTGCTGCTGTTGCTGCTGTTCCTGCTGCTGCTGCTGCTGCACTGCGCTCCTCCCTTTCTGGTGGCGGCCGTCGCCGCCGCATCACCGAAGCTTGCAGCTGCAGCTGCAGCAGCAGCAGCAGCAGCTGGGTGAGACTGGTTTTACCTGCTGCTGCTGCTGCTGCTGCTGCAGATGCACACTGAGA